GCACTAGCTGTTTGGAGTTGTGGTGGCAGAGCACTGAACCCTGTCCTGCATCCTTCCCAGCTGCTAGCAGAGTTACCCAGTGAGCCATGAGGATATGTAACGTCCCTGACCATGTCTGCCTGACCACGTGTCAGCAGTAATGTGGACCTTTAACGTGGCCAAAACATTGCCTTCATCATGATGGTACAGAGCTGGAATGGTCTTATGTGAAAAGAATTGTCTTTTTGGAACCTGCCACTGTGGTACAGCACATTCTGCAAATTCCCGGAAGGGGCTGAGTCCACCAGATGGAAAGGCAGGAGTTGTAAAGCTAGCAATTTGGCCGGCAAGCATTTAGATACTGAGCATGTGCATGGTTGGGACAGTATTTTTTTTTACTGCTCAGCAAATGGGGTAGCGAAATGTGCCTGCTGAAATCAACAGGTATGTACTGCTATCAGATGGGCAGCCACCCACTGCTGTACCATCACTCCTCTCAGGGGAGGCTGTTGAGAAAACCTGTTGTTTTACAGCAGAGGTAGAGATCTCAGATAAGGAGCAGCAGAAAGAAGTCTTTTTTTGGATGTGGGCCTTTAGGTTCGTCTGCCAACAGGCTGCATGGCAGCTCTTCATATGTCTTTTCAAGCATGTGGTGCCCAAGCGGCTGGTGTTTTGGCCATGCTTGATCTGCTTCAGACAGAGATGGCAATCAGCAATGCTGAAGTCTGCTGCACATGTGTTGAAAAAAAGCCCACATCAGAGAACTTTTGGAAGTCTGCTGGGAGTCAGCAGCACCCTGCAACTGTAGAGCTGTGTCGTGTGATGCCATCAGTTGGCTTCCCTTACACCTGCCCCTGGAGGACATCCTGCCTTGTTGGAGCTTCTGCCTCCTCCTCACTTTCCTCCTCTGTTCTCTCAGGTACCCAAGTACAGTCAGTGAACTCATCATCCCCTTCCTCATCGTCACTGGAGCCAACTTGGCAGTGTGCTGCAACTGGGGGAACATGACTGCCAATTTCTTTTCCCTCACTGACACCAGCTCTCTCTAGGCTCACATCACTCCCTTCCTCAACCTGGGTACCAACATTTGAGTATTCAAATTGCTGCGCATCCTCCAGCAGTATGTAACTGATACTATGATCAAATAATTCTGGCAACTCCTCTGTGCATGATGGTGGGGCTACAGAAGGAGCAGCTGTGGTGGACATGGAGACTGTGTAATAGGCTGCTTTGGCAGCTGTGGTGGAAGGCAAAATAGTATGAGCCTGGCTGACAGAGGATGAGGAGGCTTAGGATGGCTGAGTTATCTGCTCTACCACCTCTTCTGCATGTTGTGGCTCAAAAATACAGCCAGCATTGGAAAAAAAGGACAAGCATGCCCTGCTGAGAGAGGATTCATCATGTCCACGACCACCACTTTTCACTGTGGACACAGAGGCTGTTTGCCCTCTCATAGCTGCCTGTGAGCATCTGCTTCTCCTTCTTGGCTTTTTGAACATGATGGGGATTTTTTTAGGGGATTTATATCACTTTATTTTTCTGTGTGGGATGGGATTTTGGTGCTTGGGTGCAATATGTTTGTGCTTGGTGCACTATAATCTGTTTAATTATTTTTTTTTTTGCTCCTATAACACTACACAAGACTGCTCCTATAATCATGCACAAGGCTGCTCCTATTATCATGCACAAGGTTGCTCCTATAACAGTGCACAAGGATGCTCCTATGAAACTGCACAAAGCTGCTCCTATAACAGTGCACAAGCTGCTCCTATAACAGTGCACAAAGCTGCTCCTATAAAATGCACAAGTCTGCTCCTATAACACTGCACAAGGCTGCTCCTATAACAGTGCACAAGGATGCTCCTATAATACTGCACAAGTCTGCTCCTATAACACTGCACAAGGCTGCTGCTATAACAGTGCACAAAGCTGCTCCTATAACAATGCACAAAGCTGCTCCTATAAAAGTGCACAAAGCTGCTCCTATAACAGTGCACAAGGATGCTCCTATAACACTGCACAAAGCTGCTCCAATAACAGTGCACAAGACTGCTCCTATAACAGTACACAAGGCTGCTGCTATAACAGTGCACAAAGTTGCTCCAATAACAGTGCACAAACCTGCTCCTATAACAGTGCACAAGGCTGCTCCTATAACACTGCACAAGCTGCTCCTATAACAGTGCACAAAGCTGCTCCTATAACAATGCAAAAGGCTGCTCCTATATAACACTGCATAAGGCTGCTGCTATAACAGTGCACAAAGCCGCTCCTATAACAGTGCACAAAACTGCTCCTATAACAGTGCACAAGGTTGCTCCTATATAACACTGCACAAGGCTGCTGCTGCTATAACAGTGCACAAAGCCGCTCCTATAATCCTATAACAGTGCACAAAACTGCTCCTATAACAGTGCACAAGGCTGCTCCTATATAACACTGCACAAGGCTGCTGCTATAACAGTGCACAAAGCCGCTCCTATAACAGTGCACAAAACTGCTCCTATAACAGTGCACAAGGCTGCTCCTAAAACACTGCACAAGTCTGCTCCTATAACACACTACCCAAGGCTGCTTTATAAGCAGCCTTATATACTGTAGTGTGGGGCATGGACTTAGTCCCTGAGCCATGATTGGCTAAATTCACTTTGGCCAATCATGGCTCTTCCTGTGAACTCAAGCTGTGATTGGTCAAAAGTCAGGTGCAATGCTTTGGCTAATCACAATGCGCCACCAGAGCGCATTGAATTGTGGAGCATGAACATCTCGCTGAACGCCCCATATGTTCAGCGAACACACGAACAGCCAATGTTTGAGTCGAGCTTATGTTTGACTCAAACATACAGCCCATCCCTAGTGGCAACTCATAGCATTTGGTAGCAAGAAGAAAAGTATGATAAAGTAGATATATGAGTGTGGGATCAAAGGATGCTTCAAAACAATTCACCAGGGAGGGAGTTCCTCACCAACACCCATCCTGGGCACATAAAGCTTGCTAAAAAGGCAAATGTCTTTCATAATAAGGAGGACATTTTGGAAGGGCACTCAAAAAGGCTCTGTGGTGGTAAAAAATATTTGGTCTAAAATCACTACTGCAGGAATGGGACTTGGTGCTGTCTTCCACCAGAACTCATGCTTTCATAGTCTATGTATTTTTTAAAATTAGAATATGATTTTCAAAAATAAATGGCACTGTAAAAAAACAAGATTTTTAGATTTCCACTCCCACATGTGTCACATGTCGCATTTAGCAAGTGCACATTCACCATAATTTAAATGTCCCAAATGTAACATTGACTGAAATACTGATTGAGTGTGAGGCGGATGAATAAACATTCACCAAGGAGTGTGATGTGAAATGTTTACAAATATGTACATATGTTTCAAATTAGGTTTCTGTGCGGTATCTAGGTTTTTTCTTTCTGCGAAAGTACTGTATCTCACATTATTCATACACACTGAAATAAGAACATCTTCCCTAGGATAAATAAACAGTATTTTTATTCTTTCACAATTGTAGAACATTATGCAAACACATGACATACAGTATATACATTTTAACTTCTTAATCTCTCTAGCAATTTTACACATACATGATCTAAATTGGAGCTAAGAAACAAAATGAAGATTACTCCCTCATATTTTTTAAAATGTATGGACTTATTTTTGTTCTTTTCAGATTTCAGTTCTCGTGTACATTTCAGCAAGAAAGAGGGACTTGCTTGTCTTCCTAACAAATGCCTCTGATTTAAATTTACCATTACTTTTCTGGAGTATTATATTCTGTATGAGCATTGAAAAATCATTCTCTTTTAAATGAAAGGGAAGCAATCCAAATTTAGCTGCAGAGCGCAGGCATATTTCAAGAATGCCTCAAAATCTCTGTGACTATAGGTGCTCACCACTCCTTGCATAGCTCCCAACTGTCCTCATTTGGAGGGACTGTTCCTCTTTTGAAACCAAATACATCTGTTCCTCAGTCTTCCTTAGTTGTCCCTCTTTTTGGTATCATGTGTACACCTCTACACGAAATATACAATTTTACTACCAAAGTATTATGCTGCATTAAACGTTTTAAGCAGTCTCTATATTACTACTTGTTTTATTTAGAAAAGTCAATATAAATGAGAAATAGAGGTAAAAAAGCACTTGTGTGGTGTAGCCAATCATTTTCTGCATTTTTTGTCTTTGCAGTTCCTGTAATCAGGGCGTGTCCTTTGCCTACATATTGTGTGCTAAAATGTGTCCCTCTGTATCATTTCAGAATGTTGAACTCCAGGCAGGTAATCATTAATAAAGTATTAATCCTTAAACTGTTAACACATCCTAACATCTAAACCCAGTTATGCAACGTTGACATGTGTTAGTAAAACCGGACTAGTAATGAGTTGAATCTGACCAAACTTTGGCTTTTAGGACATTCAACAGGAATTGCTCTAGTGAATCTCCCATGATGCATTGCTGAAACCATCATTGCCCAAAGTCTTGCACCTAACATCTAAAATTTTAAACCAACAATGTTGCAGCCAAAATGTAGGCAGGCCTTCCCCTTTAATGTTCAACCACTCCCATCTTGAGGTGTGTTCTCCTCTTTAGCCCAACCTTTTATATAGTGAGAGGTGGAGCTAATCAGTAGTTGGTCAGCAGAAGGAACAGCACAATGAAGTAATAGGAGGAAGCATTTCCCCCCTGAGGGTGGGAAACGTAAGACCTGAAGACTAAGGAGGAACCATGTGAATTCTGGTTGTGCTCCATGAGCCCTAGTATGAACCACAGAAATTCACAGGGCTCTGCTTGAGAGGTGTTATGATTATATGGTGTTTTTTATGAACTTTGATTAGGGGGGGTGGAGTGAAGTGGTCTCATGCTTGCATCCATGCATTTGATGGAATGAATCTGTGTGGTCTTGGGCAGACACAAATTACAGAGAGTGCTCTGGATAGCCCTGTTTATAGATGAAGCCCCCAGCTGCAGGGTTCAGCCCAGTGAATCAGCATTGGGAGATCTAACTATACACACACCAGGGAAGGACTGACCATTTGGAAACTCGGGCACTGCCCGAGGGCCCGGGGTCAGTAGGGGACCCCATGAGATGCCCCTGGTTCCTTTTTCATAGGCTTTTTTGAGTTTGGGCAAGGACACAGGGGCCCCATAAATCCCCTATTGCCCGGGGGCCCCATGAGTTGTCAGTCCGCCCCTGACACACACCCTTTGTCAGTGTGCTTGGAGCTAAGTGATGGACAGCTGACAATACTTTTAAGGAGAGAGAGTTGTATAGTGTAGTGTACTATTACTACTGGTGTGTGTGGTGTATTTTTGTTTTTCTTCAATAGTAGTTAATTTTCAATTTTTCAGTAAAGTGCTATGAAACCTGAAAGCAAACATTTATTATATTGCAACATAACGATTCTGAGATGTGATGGCTATATTCTTTTCTTTTTTTTAGGTTTTCTTTGCTTTATTTTTATCTGTGTATTTTTTTTTTTTTCAAAAGAGCAAGCTCTCCTGCAAATGTAAGAGTTAGAGCATTGAGGCAAACCATTTATCACTAACAGGGGTACTTACAACGATACACTTTTAATTATCAACATAAATCCTTTATCCCAAAAGGAACAAAACTGTTTTTGCTACTGTTAGTGTAACTGCGTTGTGAACTGAGTGTGACTTCAATTTGATAGTGCATCTAAATCCACTAGTACATCTTAGGGCTCGTCCACACTTGACTTTTTTCTAACTCTTGCCAAATGCCCCTATAGCATTTGGCAGGTGTTAGACAGGTGTTTGGGAAGCATTTTTAAGGCTCCTCAAATGCTCCCCAAACTCCCTATGCGTGTTTTAGTGGAATTCGATAGGCATTTGCCAAGAGTTAAAACCACACCACAAGCGCCTATAATGAAGTTTAATGGTATTAACGCTCCACAAACACCTCACAACCGCCTCGCAAACGACCCGTAAATGCCTGCCAGGTGTTTGAGGAGTGTCACCATAGACTTGAATGGGAGGCTTTAACTCCTCCTGACTTGACATGAGGCGTCAATTTTGCTGCGATGCTAACGCTTCAGTGTGAACAGCATTGTGTGCTGCCATGTGTATAATTTTCATAGGCATTTGAGGAGCGTTAAAAATGCTTCCCAAATGCCTGTTTAACGCCTGCTAGCAAAGCTAGTGTGAACCTTGCCTAACACTCCTCTCTTTCCCTAGACTGACAATGCTGCTGTTCAAACTTGTCCATGTGTTCCTTTATCCAGAGTGGATGCACTCTAATTCAGGTTTATTACTGGCCAGATAACCAGGTGAAAGGTGGTGCTCTAGTTCTAAAGGTGATGGGTGGGGTTTGTTGGCTACAGTGAGGGAAGCAGCATGGGACGCTCTAAAGAGAAAGTAGGCGCTAGTGGAGTCCACATTAGGCGCTAATGAGGCACAGGGAGGCAATAATCTAGGAACTAAAGGTGAGGAAGTTAGGAGTTAATTTGGCACCAGACATTCACTTTCATTGTATCTGGTAAACCCCACCCACCACCCTTAGAATAAGAGAGCTAGACTCAGGGAAGAATATAAGCAAGGATTCTATATTGCAGCCTCCTGATAGGCTATCTCTGCCTGGCAAGGCTGAAGAGACCGGCCAGAGTATCAGGCTCTACCCTCTCCACCACTAGGTGTGCTGTGCGGTTGGGTATGTGCTGAGTAGTGAGGTGCTGCAGGGTGAACCGACCATTTGTCAACAGAAAAGCTCACAATAGAAGACATACTGACCACCCACCTCTCTCTCACCCCCCTCTTTCACTCCCCATTTCATCCACCCCTCTCTCTCTCATCACCTCTCTTTCACCCCCCTCTCTTTTCACCATCCCCCTTACCCCCCTCTCTCACACCTCTTCTCTCTCTCACCTCCATCTCTCTCACACCCTTCTCTCTCTCTCTCTCACCCCCTCTCTCTCTCACCTCCCTCCCTCTCTCAGCCCCCCCCCCCCCCCCCATTTCTCTCACCCCCTCTCTAATTTAATTACATTTTTTTAATAATAAAATTGCATGTATTTTTATTTTATCGATTTCCATAAAAAGACCCACCAAAGTCCTCATTTGGCCCATAATGCCCTTAATCTGGACAAGGTCACAGCAGCTCCTGCATTCTGGATATGCAAAACCCTATACTCGCCACTTCTACACAGTGAGTGCCCTACCAGGGATCTACTAACTTTAGCAATGGTGGATCACAGGCACAAGGAAGCTGGGACAAAAGAGCTTGATAACATGCACTCTGTCGATGGCCTTCAGGAAACCCAGAATATGCCCATGCTGTTCCTTCAGAACTGTGTGACATAGAAAGTGACTCCTACATGCATGCGCTGAAGTGACGTCATCGTGGCTCTGCCATTCAAGCCACCCGAGCTCGCAAACCTAAAAGAAAGACCAAGTGAAGATGGAAGCCCTGTCAGCGGTGACAGAATGCCCTTGGAGGGCTTCGCTTTAAGGTAAGTTTCACATAATGTGCTAGTATAAGATGCATACTAGCACATTATGCTTTTATCTTGGAAGGGAAAACTTTTTTTTTTATTAGAGTTTATTACATCTTTAACTCGAAAATATTTGTTATCCATTAACAATGTGTTCATTTTTTCACCCCTACATTCCAAACCATGCAGTACTTTCTCACATCTAGCAAAAATTCCAGCTCTATTCTATTGAATATGCAAATTACTAAAACAGCCATCAGCTATCTCCAAAATAGAACACTGAGCAGTAGTTTAAAAGAATGTTAAGATACTCTTAGAAGAATGCTAAGTCACCAGTAAGTAATAATTTCATGTGCCTTATTTAGAAGACATAACACCAGAGGCTTCATCAAACACCCACGTGAGGCAAGATACATACCACACCTTCCTTGATGAGTTCAGGTTACCTTTAAAAGCCCTGAGAACAATCCTGTGAGTTATATATAGATACTAGACAATGGTAATAAGTATAATAATATTGGTCCTCAGTAACAAAACTTTAATACATACCCACACATATAAAGCAGTGCTTCACAGAATATTTTGAAATACATAGATTAGCCTCTGGCTAAGAAGGAGCTTACAGTGTAGTGTCATTTGCACACTTTTCCAGGCACATGCAAACTCTGGGGTCTGTTGGGTTGGACACCAGTAAACTTAATGGTGTATTTTTAGGAGGGAACTGGAGCATTAGGTGAAAGCTTATGCAAGCATGGCAAGAACATGCAAACTGCATGCACATAGCTTCCCTTGCAGTATTTAAATACCTTGGGGAAATACTGTTATTTATTTAGCAAGTGTGGTATTCTAGGTATAACTACTAGGTATAACATACAATTTTGAGGACAAGCTTTCGGGGAGTGTCCCCTTCTTCAAGGTCCAAGCAGTACTCACTTGGACCTTGAAGAAGGGGACACTCCCTGAAAGCTTGTCCTCAAAATTGTAAGTTAGTGCAAATAAAAAAGTATCACCGACAGTACTGAATTGTTTCTGTCGCAAGTGAACTAATACGGCTACAATCACCTCAGGTATAACTACAAAAGATATAAAGTTTAAAATATTAATTTAACTGTTACAAGCAACACAATCATTAAGACATTTCAGTTTAAATATAAACCTGCAACCTTATTGGTCCTAGTGACTAGAAGAAAGGTATTGTAAATATTATATATTATATATGGGGGTGATCCAATAGTCCATAGTTGCGCACAAAAAAATAAAAACCACGGGATCATGAAAAAAATGTTATATATCGTTGGAAACTCCCTTAACTTCAATGCACTTATGCAATTTTCTAATTATGCTGAAGCTTTTTGATACCATTTAGGAAACATTTTCCTCTTGACCCTCAAACCACTCCACAACAACCTTTATTACTTTATCATCACTTTAAAAACTCCTTCCTTGCAAGTAAATCTTTCAATCTTTGGAAGAGGCAGTAGCACTAGGAACAACCAAAGGCATACAAAGTATTGTCCTAATGAAAGAGAATTGATTGTTTCCTGCAAATAAGCTACAAACAGAAGACACTTGAAACTTTTCAGGTACATATTAAAAACAACACAATACAATATTACTTATTTACACCACCCTTATCAAATCACACTCTTTCCAAGTTCTATGCACTATGGACTTTTGGATTACCCATCATACTTTCTGAAAACATGTTCAGCACAACAGGGGTAGCATCTTCTTCACTAAAAATTTGCTATAAAGTTAACTTTGAAAGCTCAACTTAAAAATGACATACAGATAATGTTATTCAAATTTCATTCTCTTCTACACATTGAACAGAATCTAATAGGGACAATATGAAGTTTAGTCTCGGACTAGTGATCCTTGCCTTCTGCATCAAGCAGAGTTTTTCTGAAACACGTATGTACATTTACGTTCTTTGTTCTGTTACTTTTTTATAATAGCACTTGCCACATGTATTGCCCTTACCCCAGTTCTATTTAGGTTGTACTAAACTACAATAATTGCCTTGTCTTTATCTTTTGACTGTTTGTTCAAGGACTGTTTTCCATATATTTTCTTAGATTCTTTGTAAGGGGTCACGGGGGAAAATAAGGCTTTGTGTAGTTTTTACAAAACATGTATCTCTTCTTAAAATTATTCATATTGCACAGCTATATACATTTTACTATTTTGCCTGTAAACATACAGCACTGCACATAGAATTTCTGAGGAATTAATTGTATCTGCATACCATCCATTATCCATTCAAACAAGCCTTTAACAACATTTGAAGTAAGGCTGAAAAAAACATTTCCTAGAATATTTTTTAACACTGAGCAATTGTTGACAATACAAGACTTCAATATACTAAAAAAGACAGAGCTTTTTGGATAGAGATATGCATTTTTAATATGTATTGCAGTAATATGGGCAAACTGATACACCATGATCATTTAAATTGCTTAAATTACATCTACAGTTACATTTTAAATTCATTTTGGATAGAGTAGAAATTTGTTAAAACCCTTGTAATTTTTTTTTGACACTTTGTCATATTCATGGTATTTCCATTCAGACATTAGGTAAAAAAGAGGAAATCTATCCAAAGTGAGGTAAATTCCCTAATTGATAGCTGTCATCAGAAGAAGAGTCTCACTGGTAGATTTCCCCAATCCTGTAATGTTGACAACTCAAAATTTGAATTTTCCTCACTTTCAGTCCTAGTGACAATGGTCCCCCAGTACAAAAAATTGAGTAAATCTCCCAAGCAGGGGCACAGTCAGCAATAACAACCAAACCCCTCACCACTCTATCCAAGGAAAAAAAAAAAAGCTTTGGCTCTAGATAAACGCTAATCCTGGGTCAGATACATACATGGATTAATCTGAAATCGCCAACTGCACTAATTAGAATCACAGCCAATATGTGAGTCTGCCTCACATCTTACCATTTTTTCTATGAGATAGCATGTGGCAGACCTATTCACTTTTTCTTTTTTTTAAGAGATGTTTATGTAGTTTTTAACAAAAGTTACAAAAGATCCATAGGCAACCAAGAGCCCCAATAATGGAGCGACAGAATAAGTTGTACACAGAAAGAACCAACAAAATTTTAGGGCTGTGGAGAGCTATTCACTTTTCTTTACCTTGAAGACTGATACACAGGGCACAAGTAAAAGGGTGCAGCATTCATTTTCCAGGGCTACACAGGTACCTCTTTATAGCTTATTGTAATAGCGTCTTTTAATCAACCAACTCCTAAATACATATATGAATCTGAAGTTGCGAAATATAATCCATTGGGTTGTGGGTCATTTTTCCTTGCAAAATTGGTTTAGGAGATAACTTTGAGTACACCGTGCATTTGATGTGTTAGCAAAGTTGGCTCCCAATCCACCACATTTCATGCAGTTATTCCTCTTCCCTATTATAATTTTTAGCTAGAGTTAACAGAATTTTTACAAAACCCCTCCAGCAACTGGTACATAAAAACATATCTGTGTGACTCAGATCACTTTGAAATTATAGCCAAATAATAAATGTCCTGCATATCTTTATTGTGGTATTTAGGAATTATATGACACGATGAATTTGTTAACATCATGTGCTAAATAATAATAAATGTCAAATAACTTTTAAAGGTGTGCTGAAGCATCTTGGAGGTTTCCATTTATTATGTACATTATATTTGTTATTATATACAGTATATTTGATCAAATTCTGTCAGGATGATTTTTTGGTTAATTTTATAGTGAAAGTAATCTGATTAATGTAAATAGAATTCCATTCTATCCAAGGAACTGCCAGTCCCACTTCAAGAATAAAAGAAATATAACTTTATAATTTGGGGACATTCAACCTAAAGTTATAGATGTGCTTGATTAAGGTGGACAAAAAAGCCTTGTATTTTTCCAGTGTTGACATGGTTCTTTACTGTCATTTGTATTATTTTGTAAGGGTTTTCCTAAAATTTCAAGTTATGAATTTACAATCACACAAAAATGAAATTAAAAAGTAGAGTAAAAAAAAAAAAACCTTAAAAACATGTATTAAACACAAGGATAACTTACTGTAAAAAGGAAGGCCAGCTGAATGAGATTACTTACTACAGAATAAACCATGACCTTGGTGAATGAAAACCTTCACTTAATGCTCCACACATGTCATTTATTTGGTGAATACGGGTGTAACTTGTAACATGTTACTAAAAATGAACTTATCCTTTAAAGTATACAATGCATCATAATGCAAGGCCTGATTAATCATAAGACCTTGACCACATTAAAAACGTAAAAAACATATAGTGAAAATGTTTAAAAATGTACTCACCTTACACCCCCAGTTTCTGCCCATGGTGCATAGGTGAGGTACTATTTCATTTTTAAAAAGTTATAATTGCTAGTGCTACTTTTTTCACAAAAAGACACATTGTATTGCTTCAAAAAATTTACACTGAGTGCCAATTAAAAGAAAAGATTGCACTGAGTGTGCTATTAACCCCTTCCACCTCAAACAAAATTCACATTGTGTATGCTATTTCTTTTTACTTTTTAAATAACCCACATTGAAGAGAAATAATTTGCAGGCAATATAAACATTTTTCGATTAAATAGGATTCACCATTTTTGTCATGTTCCCTTAAAATATTATTTAAAGAAATACCATGTGCATTGTTTTATTTTTCAAATTTACTCATTTGTTTTTCTCTTTTCTTTTTTTTTCAGCCTTCTCTTCAGGTAAGTTCAGCATGTTCAGTCTATTAAAAGGCAATCTGTTGTTTCTGGTCAAGATGTTACAGCTATTGACATTGGATAAATGGATTGGATTTTAAATTAGAAATTTAGTATAGTAACATATACAGTAGGAGATGGGGAATCCACATTGCAGGAAAATTATGTGTTACTTGTCTACTACAGAAATATTTTATTTTTCATTGTGGTACCAGTATGAGACTGTCTGAAAAATTTAATTTGTTATATTACAATATTGACTGTGTTAGTAACAATTTAGTACTAACATGACAAGTTAAAGAGACCCTATTAGTGTGGTAAAAAAATAAATATGCAGCACCCCGTGAAATAACCAGCTTAAAGCATATCCAGACTGACCATTTGGAAACTCAGGCACTGCCCAAGGGCCCGGGGTCAGTAGGGGGCCCCATGAGATGCCCCTGGTACCTTTTTCATAGGCTTTTTTGAGTTTGGGCAAGGACACAGGGGCCCCATGATCCCCTATTGCCCAGGGGCCCCATGAGTTGTCAGGCCACCCCTGAGCATATCTAAACAAAAAAAAGGTAAAATATTGCAGCTCAAAAGTGCTTATATGAGGTGATTGTTAGTTTTCTTTTTTCAGACCTTTTCTCTTTTATTTTCACCTGCAATCCTGTGAATAGCATACTTGTCTCAATAGCTATGCTCCCTTCCATTGCATTTGTAAAGGGAGTCAAGGTTGGCACCCAGACTGGGTTTCAAACATTTTTGCCTTTTTCCATCTCCATTACATGGGGGCTAGGGTGATTAGTAGTTTACAGAGGGAAAATAGGTTTTGTTTATGCTTCCAGTTCAGCTCATAGGATGTGACTATATTTTTTGTACTTGCTGAAAATATTTATGGCCTGAAAAAGACACAAATGCAGCTACTGCATACAAGGACTTGTACGCCACAATATATTACAATTTTGTTCTTGGGTTTAGTTATCCTTTAAGCCTTTTGCTGGAAGAGCTGTTTGTGCATTTTTTTCATATGCTAAAATATACATACTGTAGGCCTGAAGATTGTTTAAACCCCAAAATATTTATTTTCTGAAAACAGAAACCCTGATAGCAGGTACAAATTTATGCACTTGATATTAGTGTAACAGTATATCAAACACATATTTTTATTAAAAAATACACTGAAGCTAATTTTAGTGCCGCCAATGCAGTATATCATTTTTGGTAAAATAGAAATGATGAGGTTGAATGGCGTGCACTTGTGAAATGGCAACAAATTTTAGTACCCAAAATTGTCCATAGGCAATGCTTTAGAAGCCTTTACAATTTTTTTGTCACTGTGGGTCTGATTTTCTAAAAACTGGAGAGTGCAAAATCTGGTGCAGCTGTGCATGGAAGCTTCTAATTTCAGCTTGTGCATTTAAGCTTTGACAAATAAAAACTGGAAGATGAATGGTTTCTGTATAGAGCTGCACCAGAGTTTGCACTCTCCAGTTTTAGTAAATCACTCCTTGTGTGTTAATTTTTTTACTCAGATTTGTTGCTATTACATAGGGGCTGACAAGCCATCTATATAATAGCATAAAGGACAAGACAGATCCTCTTCAATGACCCCTGTTTGCTGGGGCTACATGGCCATGGAAATTGCACAAAGGAAATACAACACTTTCCTGGAGATGTACAGCCCCCAGAACAGGGGCAGACGGACAACTCATGGGGCCCCCAGGCAATAGGGGATCCTGGGCCCCTGTGTCCTTGCCCAAACTCAAAAAAGCCTATGAAAAAGGTACCAGGGGCATCTCATGGGGCCCCCTACTGACCCCGGGCCCTCGGGCAGTGCCTGAGTTTCCAAATGGTCAGTCCGCCCCTGCCCCAGAATCACTTACATCAGAAAGCGGACACTCAGCTTTCCAAATCTGCACACATGATATTGGCAGCAAGAGGGTTTATAATTACCTTTTTGGTAGGTGGTCTGTTAAATCTTCACTTTCTAGGAGATTTCCAGCAACCCTACTATCTGACATGTCAGGCATGGTATGTCTAATAGTTTTCCTCACTGGGCACTGTGGTCGCTCCCACCATCTATTCCATTACAGTGAGGAAAAAGCTATCCAGCACTGCAGAAGTGTCAGATACCAGCAGCACCTACAATGGTGAATATTGAGCAACATTTTTCAAAGGGTGCTGCATGCTTGATTTTTTAATGCAGTGACAGGACAAAAATACGATGCTAAGGCAGCTTAATGTCACTGCAGATTGTTCTGTTATTTAGGGATTGATTTACTAAAGGAGTAGAGAATTTTCACTTTGGAAAGTTAAAATCATCCTCATACAATATGTCCAAGCAAAAATCCAGTATTTTTTTAATTTAACAAAAAAGGGTCTATGTATAAAAAGATTGCTTTGCAAGTGTCTCATTATTTGCGCAAGGGTAATTAATAATATCCATAACGTTTTTAATATCTGTGTACAGTAATGTCAGTTTCCTTTTGTTGCCTTTCCCTGGGTAAATTTAACATTCTCTAATTATTCAAATCTAAGAGAAAATAGCCATAAGAAAATTTGATTATAAGAGTGAAAGAAAATTCACCAACAGAAAAAATAGGCTTGCACTATAGCCTAATAACATAAAAACATTTGACCAGAAGGGAAAATAATAAGAGGGAGACCTCTGCACTGTGTACAGTCTATGGAGATTCTAGTGTGAACAGCTGAACTAATGGGTATTTGGCCGAGTGAACCTCCAGCTGTACCTCTTCTAAATATTTCACTTCACACTCTGGGATCCTAGCTGTTATGGAGTCAGCACCCACTGGCATCCTAATAACCAGTGACTCTTCCTTGCCTAGCACATTCAGTTGTCAGCTGGGGATTCCTAACAATAAAAAAGTGTGCCCCTTCAAAAATCCATTTGGGATTATACAAGCATGCAAACTGACTGGCCAGGAAAGGTGCACCCCCCTCCCCCCCAAACCATACCAGGTCACATGCCCTCAACATGGAGGCTATCATGTAGATGAGGACAACCTAGCCCTGGTTGTTTGGTTCTGAGTGCAGGGTGCTTATTGAAATATGGAAGTCTCCTCTAAAAAAGGGGGGGGGGCCCACATACCACCCCTTCAAGCGAATGAGTAAAGTGTCAATAGTGCAACTACTCTCTAAAAAGAAAAAAATAGATGGCGATACACAAGTGACAGGTTTGGATGTGTGGCAAATGGCAGTTTTTTTCTTTTGGCAGGTCAGTGGCCATTGGTCATTGTGATTGACATGGATCTGCATTGTTGGATTACATGGTTGACAGTGCAATTACATTGTGGGACTTTTTTTAAAATAAAGGACTTGTCAAAAACTGTGTATGTGTGTGATTAGTACTAGTTACCCCTTACTCATTCACATGGGGGAGTTGGTATCAGGTAAACCCCTTATTCAAGAAGAGACTTGCTAATTCTAAATCCTAAAGACCCCTACCCATAGACCCCCACAACCACTGGGCTACAGTTGCTGGGAAGTGGCTCTTATCCTCATCAACAAGGGGAAAAGATGCTTGACAGGGAAGTCCCCCCTAGGAAGGAACCTCCCTATGTTGAGGACATGTGGCCTGGTATAGTTCAGGAGGGGATGGACCAATGCTTGTCCCCCTAGCTGCCTGCCTAATGTGCTGTGGGAATGAGTCACTGGTTGTTAGGAAGCTGGCGAGTGCTGACTCCCTAACAATCAGGTGCTTTGAGCAGGAATCTGTGACATTTCGCAGTTGGAGTAACAGTGCTACTAAATGTTTAACTTCACACTGCAGCTGGAGGTTTGCTCAACCTGACACCCATTTGTTCGGCTATTTGCACAAGAATCTCCATAGACTGTGTACCCAGTGCCAGGGGCGGACTGACAACTCATGGGGCCCCTGGGCAATAAGGGATCATGGGGCCCCTGTGTCCTTGCCCAAACTCAAAAAAGCCTATGAAAAAGGTACCAGGGTCATCCCATGGGGCCCCCTACTGACCCCGGGCCCTCGGGCAGTGCCTGAGTTTCCAAATGGTCAGTCCGCCCCTGCCCAGTGCAGGTCTCCTTCATATTATTTCCCCTTCTTGTCAAATGTTCTTAACCTATACTGTTAGGTTATTTTCTCTATTTAGTATTCTTATAGCTCTTTTCTGTTATGTTCGAATAATTGAAGAATGTTACATTCTTCTGCTGAAAAGCAACAAATTGGAACTGGCATTACACACATAAAAGACATTACAGGTATATTTTATTTTTTTCTGCTTGAACTGTGAGACCTTCACAAAATGGGCTTTTTAAAAACAACCCCATAATGTTGTATTCAAAGTGAAGATAACGTCACATTTTTCAATAAGCTAAGTAACCATTCAAGTTGCAAAGGGCATACACCCTACATTTTTAGTAAATCAACCACATAGAGAGGATCTTGATTTGAGAGTTAACACAGAATATTAACAGAAGACTAGACAAAATTAGCTTTTGATTAGAAGACTGGGAATTGTTTATCAGAGTGACTGTAAAATAACAATAGAAATGAGACAATATTGCCACATGGCAGCCCATTACATTACATCTTTTTACACAGCCTCAAAATATTATCCTTGCTTGAATGGACAACAGAAACTGTCTTTATTACAGACAGTGATTAGCTGACATTTAAATGCAAGAAAAATCTAAACTTTTCCACATGTATTTATTATTTGCTTTTTTTATGTTGTGGACATTCCAGAAAACAGTGATTGAGCAGCATTTTTTACAAATTTTTCATCAACTTTGGGAGTTCTGACAACCCTGGTCTGAAGGTTACTGGTTACTGGAAACATACAAAATTGACCAGAGGCCTCTCACCACTGGTGCTGGGTACAGGTCCTCCATTGAGCAGTCCACTTCTGGGAGGGTTAAGTGAGAGTTCACAACACTCTGGGGCTCCTCTCTTAAACCTGCCCCATCTCCCTCAATGAAGTTTGCAGTCCATGTCCCTGGTAGGCCGTTGTGAATCTCTCTCAGTTCAGATGGCGGGGCCTCTGTATTCAGCACTTCAGCAGGCAGGACTCTCTCTCTCTATAGAGCATGGCTGTCTCTCTTGGCTGTAGTTTCACAGCACAGTTCCTCTGCTTACACCACACAGCAGGCAGCTGAAATACACCTCTGACCCCGTTGATCTCTTTGGAGCCTAGTGGGAACATAGATAGCCCTTGTGAGCTGTAGGAGGCCGGCTCTTGGTCCTGGCAAATAGAACCCTCCTTTCCCCAGCACACGCAGCTTTCATGCTTTTTGTCCCTTCTCAAATGTGAACTCTCCTCATAGACAATCTATTGGTAAGGGCTAAAATCCAGCCCCAGAGAGGCAGCCAGGCCCAGTCCTCCCCCAGTCTCCACAAAAATTGCCACCACCCCTCCTGTGCTACAGACACTTCTTCCTCTCTTCTGGTACTGTTAAGCAGAACTAAAGTTCAAGGAAGCTGGTGAGGCTACATGAGGAATACTTCAATGTGCAATGATGTGGGCTTAATGTGGGTACAAAAGTTTTTCTTTTTTACCT